TTAATCAATAAGTTGTCAACTCTTGCCGTTGACTGGCCAAACGTCATGCGATTCCGTCCACGATGCTTGTCAGTTAGTTAACAACAATAGCACTTGAGTGCTGATGTATAGTTTACTTTGATGGTTAGGGGCACGTTCACAAAGCTAGAAAAATATTTGTCCGGTGATAGACTCACCTATTGAAAAATACTACTGCTATGATTAGTTTACTTTTCACATACACACCTGCATACACTCGATCTGGAGAAAGAGGGAGGTGACTTAACGGGTCAGTTCTGTATTTACTGACCTAATTTTATTTACTCGCCATGTTTCCTCTTCTTGAAGATTCGAGTGAAAATAATTAACCTTAAAAAAACTCAACGACACTGTGGTTTAACTTCAAAGCTGCAGTATACGAGAAGTTGACCTGATCAGTCCCTGGACCATCTTGTCTGCTCATATAAATCTGAAATAATGCACAAATAGGTTAAGTTATTCATGTGATATAATTTTTAACATCTTTAGGTACTATTGCTCCAATACGTAAAAATTGCAGCAATATCGTGCGACGTATTTTTCTTAAGATCATTAAAAAAAAAAAAAAAAAAAAAAAAAAACAAAGTCTATTTGTTTTCTTGAAACAAAAATCACGATAGACGAGAAACAAAAACCAGAAAGTGAGAAATCACCCACCGAATCAAATGTTTCCTTAAGTATCGCAAGGAAACTCTGCACCCCATAAATCACTCAGTTCGTTCTCTTGCGTTTGTCCCGTCTGCCGGATCGTAGGTGTGCGCCAAAACAATTCAAACAAAATTTATGGTGCAGTACGTCCACCTGTCCGACATCACGTGGAAGCAACCGTGAACTATTTCTGTTTGCCAACTTTTTTGAGCCAAATGTCACACCAACTGTCTTTCAACATTCATTCCACTGATGGATTTGGTATACATGAAGCTCGTGCTTGTACTCTCACCCCGTGTTATACACATATCGCAAGCTTGTGGTGCTGTAAGAGATGGTGCGGATATTGGTTTAGTTAGCATAGTTTGCATACAGAGCTGTTTCGTCTCGACTGAGCCTTAAAAATCCTCTTTGAAGAGTTGAAGAGGGACAGAGTTATCCCAGTTTACCAAGTTTTAAAACTCAATACTTTGCAGACGTTATTGCACAACCGTGTCCTTAGGAGTAGTACTTAACGATAATTCAAGCAGCATCGTTGCGAAAGATTTTTGCTCGATGCAACTGATTATTTGTCATTCATATGTGCTTACAAGATAGGAAGGCTGACTACTTACGCACCAAAAAAGCAGTACTTAATGTAGATTGAAGAAATATCATCTTCAAGAGTTTTGGAGGTCTGTTAAGAAAGTTTTCCCTGCATGTGAATATTATTCTATGAAGTTCTGATCTTTTTAACTTTAATTCACTTTAACTGATTATTATGAACATAATAAGTTGATATGCATGTGCAGAAAAATTGTTTAGTTTTTTTTCTCGCAAAAAGATATTCTTGGTAATACCTGTAAATTTCATCTATTTCGTACTATAAATTTTTTTTTAATATTTGTAGTAGTGATGATAAATTCACAACAATGATTTATTTTACTATAAAACTTAGAATTTTTTAAGTGCAATAATAGGAAAAATAGATATTTAAAAATAAATTATCTTTAATAATTAAAATACCTAAACTTATATTCTATCTTCGATTCGAATTTCATAAAACTCTTTAAGTACCTCCACTGTACGATCGATGGTTCCGCTCAATCATAAACCTTAACGATAACAATTCACTGTCTCATCAAGTTCATAATCTACTTAATAAGTATTCGATCCTTTGATGAAGTATCTCCTTTCATTATGTACAAACGGAGTCTTCTGAGGAAAGCCTCAGGGACAGGAAATTTGTGTGTTACGTAACAACTTCTAGTTTCGTAAATAAAGTCAAATGAATTAGCTCACGGTCCTTAGGGAGGAATTTGGATCTTCTACAAGGCGCATTGCCAAAAAAATAGAAAAAAATATGCTGTACGAAGTAAAGGGTTTTTGGCCAACACTAGTTTCTCGGGCGTTTTTCCAAGTATGAAGCATCGTCTTTATCGCCCGACTCGTGCTACTTATTTTTCTTCCTTCCTTCGTTTGTTTTTTTTTTGTTTTTTTTTTTTTCCCTCATNGGGGGGTAACCTTGCGCGACTCTTGCTGTGTGCACTCCAGCCGAAGTCAGAATGCTCGCTGAGAACGGCATTATTGCGTCCTTTCGGATGATGAAGGGTGGGGACAAGTTTTTGGGCCTGAAAATAAATTGAATGCATTATTGGTAACTGTACTCATGTAGATTCGGTGAAGTAATGGAAAAATAAAAAGGAAAACTGCATTTTTATCACTTTTAACGACTGATGTTATTTATATTATTCCTTGTTTTTGAGTTACCTATTTTATTATTTTTTCTTCCAACTTATACAAGGATAAAACAATATTTTTTATATGCTTTCGTACAAATAAAAGCATTTAGTTATTATTTTGCATAATTTAAATTCCGTTGATGATGACACATTAAATGTGAATTAGAAATGTTCATATTTTTACGATCTTATTTGAATTATAATTTTTTAGGATCAACGGAATCATGATGAATTCACACGAATTTGCTGAAGCCTTCCGATGTTCAACTGGTTCTAAAATGAACCCACCAAGAAAATGCAAAACTTGGTGATTTAAAGCGAAAAACCAAGGGCCAATGGCGTAGTAATTTCAACAATGTTGGCAATAAAATGAACATTATTCGCGCAAAACATGAAGACACGGATTTTCGGTACAATGAAGTGAGAACGTGGATTTTTTATCGAAGAAGTCGGTAAATTAGAAGAACAGATTGAAAGTTTTATCAACTTGAGAGAAATTTTGAAGATATCTTACTGGTATCAGGATATAAGAATGGTAAATATCAACATTTTTATTGTACGTATCATTAAAAATATGATTGATTTTAATTTAATTTCAGCAACAGTAGATAAAAAAAGGACTTATTCATCCACATGACAGGATATTTGGCGTTTAAACAAGGGAAGAAAGTTTTCCGCAGGCATCAAGTTTGATTTGAAAAACGATACGAATGTTTTCAAGTGCTGCGACCAAGACGCTTTTTTGTCGTAATTCTTACTTACATTAAAATTTCCTATACTTATCCTATACGACATGCCAGTGGAGTTTTTTCAAATGTCCAATGCATACATAAATTTATATGTCATTTTCTCAATTAGATGCAATCCATTCTTAAAATTTAAGTATGTTACTCTAACTTTCTTATAAAGCTTTAGAACGAAGTTCTATCGAGAAGCACAGTTAAAGTATACGAGTATATTTTGGAGAGGCAAAAATAGTAGATTTAATAGGAAGATTTTTTTTATCATTACTTACAAGATTCCAATAGTAACAAATTTAGAAAAAACGATTTAGTTATTGTTGACAAAAAAATAAGTCACCAGCATTTGTTTGATAAGACAACAAATACAAAAGAGGTCGTTAAAAGTTCATTTTTTATAATCTGTATATAACTGCAGCTATTTTTATTGATCTTACATTGTGCCAGAATAGTGCGAATTCAAACGAGTATATGTATGTCTCGACGTCAGAAACTGTGATACTTTGAAGCATTAATGAAATTTAAAACAAAGTTAAATAATACAAAAAGTTAAAAAAGAAAATTGATAGAAAAATAATACATTCCGTTCAGTAAAATTTACAACGAGTCAAAAATATTTAGAGTACTTAATTTTGAGCGACTCTATCTTTGCATTAGAAAATAAAAATTTTTAAATATAGTGAGTGATGAGCAAATGAATTGTTATTTTTAATTTTTATAGTAATAATTAAGCTACTTTATCTTGTAATTTAACTAGTTAAACGATACATAATGATAAATAAATAGTTATGTTTCTATAGCATGATAGAAATAGAAAAGTATTTGAATTCAATGTTAGACACTCATTCAGTATTGAAGTAACTTTTTTTTTACAATTAAGCTTCAAAAATATTATTTTCTTGAAGATTTCATATTATAGATCATCATCCTTTGATTCAAAGTCAGCGTAAAACGAAAATATTTGAATAGAAACAATTTTTTTATCGCTAATGTTCATCACTTTCATAAATATATATTTTCAACGTTATAATAAAGAGGAAATCTGTTTGACTAATAGTTATAATATATTTTTTAGATATCATTTTATTACGGATGAAAAACTTGTTACAGCACAATGAATAAGTTCCATCTTGCATTATTTGAATTAAATCTTACACGTGTTAAGAAATTAAGTTTAGAGAGAGAGAGAGAGAGGCATCAGTTCGCAAGCTCATCGCCTCTTATTCACGCTTGCCACGACCTCATGTTTCCAATTATATGGATATAACCAAGATGTTAAATGTCACTGTTAATTTCACGTTGCAATTTTATGAGTTCTTGTAAATGATCAACAGAGTGGTTTAACTTTCTATAAAATATAAAATTTAAGAATAAAAAGCAAAAAAATATTTCGTTCTAAACAAAAATCGTTGACCCAGTACCTCTTTAACGAAATTTTCATACACGTACATTCGCGCAAAAGTCTTATCAGATAATAGATGCGACTCTTGGGAGTAACATCCTTGTATATGCGTGTGTATATTTATACGCAGATTCTATCAAAAATGTTTTCATGCTGTTTACCTGAAAATTACGACGGATGGATTAAAATATTCATGAATTTATGACTTAAGAATTCGACAAAATTGTATATTACGGGTTACGCAAAATATAATGTATATCCAGCATTTAATAAAATCCAAAAGAAAACTGAATAAATTACAATTTAGTTTTCGCGAAGTTGATTTCTTAATTAGAATTTTTTATTTTATTCCGTCAACGAATTATTAAATTCTTGATATTCGATGCATTTAAAATTGCAATCTTGATTTTTTTTTATCAATTTCGTTAGAAACATATATTTTTATTCGGCGTACGTGTATTTTTTTTCCAGAATGATACACAATGGACTACTGGTACTTTATGCCACGGACATCCTGCATGACATCGTGAATGTGACCGCCAACGAAAACTGGAGCGAGAACTGTGTCAGGTTGACTAAAAACGTTTTCAGCGATGCCGTTGGGATGCTTTACGTTCAACAGTACAACTCTGATTATTTGGAACTTTTGGTGAACAGGGTAACGCTGAACTTTTGTAACTTTTTTCCCTACAAACCAGTAAAATTTCCTAACTATCGTAAAAATGCTTTAATTTTTCAAGCTCCTCGTTTCGTTTGTCCTCTTCCAATAATGTTAGTTTATAAAATTCTATTGCATTTATTACAAAATAAGCTTATTGAATGCGACAACAGAAGGAAAAAACACGTTGTTTGTTAATGAAGGGAGTAGAAGTTTGTAACGTTGCGACATAAACTTACAGGTCGGAGTATTGTTCGAGCGTATTAAAGAGACACTCGCCGAACGCATGCTCGTGATGCCGTGGTTGGACGAGGAAACGAGAACTCAAGCTGTTTTCAGACTACGCTCTTTACGAGGGAATTTCCGAATTTGGCCAGGATATCTCAATGAGAGTTTATGGGCACACGAAATGGCAAAGGTTTGCATTACTTTTTTTTTTGGTTTTTTTTTTTTTTTGTTTGTAGTTGACCATCGAAATCGGAAATAAAATTTTATTTTACTTTCTGCATAGTTTTTAATACATACAATTCAATTTAATCATCTCTCATTTAAAAATAGTTTATGGCTAATAACATGCCTCAAATGTAAAATCAGTAGTTATTCAAAAAAAATTAATTTCTCGAATTTTTGATATTTTTTATTGTGAACTTTTATTACATCAGGTTGTCATCGATGAAGATGATTTTTTCTCAACCGTCCTGCGAAGATTCAGACAAATTAGAACCACGGAAAGCCAAACGAAAAGAAATGCGACACACAAGTAAGAGAGAACAACTGAGCATCATCATGACCATCATCAAACCATTGTAAAAGTAAAACACTAGTTGCCACTCTATCCGTTAACGAACAATTGTCATTCCTTTGTTCAAAATAATTATTAATATTATCAAAGCCTTACTAAACGAATCGATTATAATGTTTACTAGATCGAACAATTATTTCTTATTTATTCAATATTTTTTTTATTTAAAAAAAAATTGATCACGTTTTTCACATTAGAGAGAAAAATCAATTGTACAACTACAAGCGACGGTGTATCGATTTTGTGTTGACAGATGGCACCATCCATTCACTGTCAGTGCATATTACGAAGCCTCATCGAATTCCATTGGTAAGTCTCTTAATCATTGAAGAAAATATTATGGTTATTGGTATTTCTTTTGCTCCAAAAAGAAAGCGATCGAAGGATTGAAATTGTATCTTGTTCCCAAAATATTATCTTACTTTCTAAAAACCGCAGTAAAAAATTGTTTCCCTGTTTTAATTACAAGTCATCCCGCTGGCGATGATGACGGCGTGGTCCTGGTCATGGGACGGTGGGCCAGCGTACTCCGCTTATGCGACTCTAGGCTCGGTAATTAGCCACGAGGTGCTTCACGCCTTTGATCTTCATCATCGGAGGCTGCCAGTCGATCCCGAGCCCATTGGTGATCAGTGGTCATGGATCACACCAGAGGCCTGGCGCAGGCTGGAGGTCATGATCGAGTGCGTTGCCAAATTGTACGCCAGAAGCTTTTGGAGGAAAGTCAAGTTATTCGGCAATAGCTTTGATGTTCAGGTACAAGATATATTTACCACTGTTTAGCTTCTACATGTACTTCGTACCACACTTTCAGCCAATATAGTCAACATTTAGTGAACAATTTTTACGTACGGTAGTAGCTATTTTTAATAAAAAAAAAAAAAAATGCCAAAAGGTGATGTGACGTGGTAGGGCTTTTTTTGCACGAATATAAAGAAGACTGAAAATCTGAAAAAGTGCACGTAAATGTATACAGTGTACAAGAATTTCAATATTAAATAATTCTTTGTGCATGAAGCAGTGTGTGTAGTGCTTATTTGAATATGTATAGTTTTTACTATCTTTAGCACACAATAGCCAATGAGATTTTACTGCTTAAAAAATCAATACAGTAGTGGATGACGTGATATTCTCATTGATGTGATTGATGAAAATTTTCGGAAAGTACACTAATTACGTGAGTTGGATGTATTCCCACTGTTATAGATAAAATTAATTATAAGCATTTTGATTAATAATATAAATTATTATCATTATATATTCGATGATGAGATCGTACATTCTCATTAAATATGCGGGATAAGTACGATGCATTTAATTTTCACGAGAATAATTACTATAAAAGTTTTATTACGAAAAAAAGAGTCCAAATAAAATTGAAAAATTCAAGCATAAAAATATGACTCTACCAAGTCTCCAATGGAACCAAACCATAAATCATTCCTCATTAAGACAATGAAGCCAACTTGCGAGGAAACTCTTGTCAAAGACGAATTAACGGACATCGCTCAAAGGAGGCAGAAATTAGGCGTAAGAGAGAGAGAGAGAGAGAGGCATCAGTTCGCAAGCTCATCGCCTCTTATTCACGCTTGCCACGACCTCATGTTTCCAATTATATGGATATAACCAAGATGTTAAATGTCACTGTTAATTTCACGTTGCAATTTTATGAGTTCTTGTAAATGATCAACAGAGTGGTTTAACTTTCTATTTGACGTTTAGGAATATTCCGTTTAGTCCGTATAACTATAAAAGTCGCCTTGCTTTCGCCTGTAACTTTTAAATTTTTTTTTTTTTTTTTTNTTGAGGTAGTTTAAAAAAAATAAATTTGATTATTTGTATTAAATATTCGTAAGAGATTTCAACATGAAATCAATATTAACTGATGTTAGTCTCACATAAAAGTTTCATTTCAATTTATGCATAATCAATGAAATTAATTCATCTTTTATTAAAAAGCAATAATTTTTTTAGAAAGTTGATAAGGTCAGTAATTACTACAGATTGCCACGAGAAAATAGAAATGACCCGCTAAATATTTATAATTTGTTGGATGAAGTATTTTATTCTGGACCATACATTTTTACTTGGACCCATAGATCGCGAGATTATACAATTAAATCTATAGAAAATGTTCAAGATATTGTCTACAAGAAAAAAATCATTATCAATCGTATGGATCAGAAAATAGTGTTGAAAATACTATTACTTTGTACAAAAAGTATACAGTATCCTAAAAACATTATAAGTATAATTAATAGATTTTGTAAATATTACAACTATCGAAGTCTCATTACTCGTCACAAACAACAAAGTTTTTACATGAAACCAAAGTTTTGGGCGTCCATAAATCACAGCTTATTAAAGTTCAATGATACTAAAGTAAAAAAAAATATTTTGCATGGTAAACGTTCTTACGAACTTTACTTACAAAAACCGAAAATTATTGACAAAAACCATAAAAATTATCCAACAAGTATAACTAGTCATTCATACAAAACAAGAGTTTTACTGTCAACAAATTCAGATCTGAATTCTCAATTTTTCAAAACACCCGATCGTCAGTCCTCACTTTACGATGGTAAAAAATCGAAATCAGATTTCTTAAATTTGGATCTGATTAAAAATGCAGTGAAAATGGGATATCTCAGAGATCAGCCCGACATTAAAGACCAGCAAGACATCGACCACAAAATTGAAGAGAATTTCGCCAAGATCTCAAACAGATTGAGATGGGAAAAAACGGCATTGCTGGAAAATGAAAATCTCAAAGGTGGCCTGATTTCCAGCAACGACATAATTTCCAGCCAAAGAGGAGAAAAAGCTTCAAACTCAGCAAAAAGCAATAGGCAATCGATCAGCCGCAAAGCCCAAGCTGGACACTTGCTGTTCCCCTCGAGGAGCTCACAAATAGATACCCCAATGCTGGAGACGATAAAAATAGACCGACATCCCGACAACCGGCGTAAGAGTCAGATAGCAATTTGGCCCAAATCTGTTGGATACTCCACGAATGGCAACGAACCAGGACTAAACGCTCAAGGTGATTTTCTTTCGTCCTTTCCATTAGATTCTGTCGACGACAACGTGGATTATAGTAGTAGTAAAAATCAAGATTTTGTCAAACTCATCGACGACATACATATTCTTCTCAAGTATCCTGACAGCTCTGCGCAAACGAGCGTCTCGGAAACGAATAACTCGACAACAGGACTTGAAAATGGAAATTATTACAAAAGTTACATTCAAAATAAACTTAAGGCTTTACGTGACTGGGCAATCGATACGTATGATAAACTTAAAAGCTCCGTCGTATCAGTTGATACTAAAAAGTCAGTGACTGATGTTCATCACAACAATTCATTGCTATGTAAAACAAAAAATATTCTGGATACAGATGACAGAAACTTAGTTAATTCTGATTCAATTTTCAAGGATTCTCTGAATGATAAAACAAAAGAAAAAGAGACTTGCAATACTTATGATTATGATGAAGACATTAATATTTCTAGAAAACAAAGTAGTGCGTATTATGACGATTATTATAACTATGAAAACTCTGAATGTCTTTCTGATAAAGAGAAAAATAAATTTTCAAAAGCAAGATTTGTAGGAAGAAAGTTATTATCACTAAGTTATGCTGAATATCCTTCAGAAAATCGGATTTTAGCCGGAAAAAATTTCAAAACGTACAACAAACCATTTCAAAAAAATGTAAGAAATGAAAAGGGAAAAATCCAAGCGAATCAGGCGAAGATAGATAAAACAGTTGATAAATTTAATGTCAGTAAAAAAAATCGATATTTAAACGATACTCGTAAAGTTTCTGGACTTGCACGTGATGGAAATCATGAAACAAAGGTGTGCAACGAGTGCAATGCAAAGTATAAATATTCCAAAAGGCAATTAAAAAGTATACTTCAAGACGAAGAGTCGATTGATCGCCCACTGGATGAAGGTTCGCCCAAACATTTACGTATAAGCGGCGACTTGTTCGAGTACGATTACGATGCAACTGACAGTGAGAGCGAGAATTCAAGAATTGAGAGAGCAAACGATAATTCTGACGAAGAAAATTCAAATGTGGGCTGGCATAAAAAAGGAGAGTACGATTTATCCGTGAAGGGAAACCTCCGCTTGCACCTAAAAGATAAAAAATCCAATGGAAAATTAAAAAAGAAACCATCCAAAAAATCTAAAAGGTATTCGGGTGAATCTCATTCTAAGACAAATCCTGCTCAGCGAAATTTCGAAAATACATCCCGAAATCGAAGAGCTGACCGCGTAAAAAGAGACCGATACGGAATGGCTCTATGGAGTAATCCAAATGGTTGTCCAACACCCATTCATGAGTCACGAAGTCCCCTGCAGAAGATATCAGATTTTTTCAAAAGGAAATTCGGCAAAAGTAATGGGACGAAGGAAAAGTTGACCATACCACCAATTTCTTGTAGAAACGGGGGCGATTCCTCGGGCGATAAGAACACTGATCGTCAAGACTGCGACTGTCACCACGACGTATTCGATGAGTCAACGATGAACAACAAAAACGAGAGAGATTTCACGTCCGTCGCTGTTGATTTTAAAACACCGTACAACGATCCGGATGAAGTCATCGAACCTGATCTCTATGATACCATGTTAACGAGTGATCGAAAGGACGACTGCCACTGTGAGGATTACCATTTTCGTAAAAAAAAAAAACCACCGCACGAAATAGTTTGGCCAGAATTCTCAACTATTCTGCCAATGCCTCTGACGACTGAAGTAGCGACTCAAGGATATCCAGGTCAATATTACAGTTGTTAGTGTAGAAAAAAAATTAAAACTATTTAATCACATATGCTAACGTTTTATTTTAATATTTTTTTAGATCCAAACGGAGAAGGTGTAAAGAATAAAAAAATTCGAAGAATGAAAAAAGTTCTGAAAATTCTTAATTTTGTCAATAAGTTACAAAAACTCTTGGCTGACGAAAAAGAACCTTTCCTTGTTGGTGATAACAAGGATGGTTTGGAAATAAAGTTAGAAAAAGTATACATTCAAACAGGGCAGAATCAATCAACTGGTAGAGATACATTTAAGAACGAATCCAATAAGTATAAAGCAAATAATTTATGCTCGCAAACTCCATCCTCTGATGAAAATAACGAAAATAGAGTAAATGAAACATGTAAATGTACAAGATGTAGAAATAGTAAAAATTTTGATGATATACGTGATCAAAATTTACATGAAAAATTATTTAGAAATGGTAAAAATTATATCTTTCGTAATACCGCAATCAAAAAGCACAAAGAATTTGATAACAATGATGTTTTTGAAACATATGTAGAGAGTCCATTGCAACATTCTTTAGAAGACAATGACCAAATCGTAAAGAAGCCTGTCGTTGAAAAAGAGCATATTGAAGACCAAAAGCTTATTGGGGAGGATGAGTCACTATCGTTTGATGAAAATTTCGCATCTGATAGACAATTAATAAGAAGAAAGAAAAGATGGCCATGGAAAAGAAAAAAGAAACGCCGAAAAGGAAAAAAAAGGACAAAATGGTTCCAGCGGAAAAACGGTCAACGACACAAACGTTACCGAGATTGATATTTTTCAATAATAAAAACGCTCGTAGACATTTTGCATTCCAAGAACTGATCAGTGAAATAAAAAGCCTTTAGCATAAACTTTCCGTGCTTTAAAAATTGTCTCGTACCACAGTCGTAATTAGTTAACGATATTTAAATTTGCAGAAGTTTTATTTTACAATTATGTATGCGTAAATATTGATAAGATTTGTGTTGTGATAATTATAATAATTTTGTTGATATGCCAAGGTAAATAGGTATAATCATTAAATAAAATTAATACACTAACAAAATTTGGTCCAAGTCAAAACTGTGTACATGAGAAATTTAGTATTATAAAGCTCAGACGCATTTTTAACAAAGGACTTTTACCTTTTTTTTCTACATGATTAAATATCGATTATATTGTTAAACAAAATTTTTTTATTACGTCTGAAACCAAACTGAAACCATCTCAAATCGTGTTATGATTTAAATCAGAATGTAATGAGAAGAAAAACCTTTTAAAACTAAATAAAAAATTTTTTTGAACTAATCATTGAAAACTAAGAAAATGCGATGACTTGACTTATTTACAAAACTTTAGTAGATGTTACTTAAAAGTTTTAAATGATTTGAAAACAATACGTATACATAAAATACGAAATATTTCAAATCAATTAATATATTACAGTATCAGTTGTAATAAGATTAAACTATAAGAAAACAAGAATTAATACAATGTGTAACCTGAAGATCTATCGATGTTTGTATTATCCCTCACCGAGTCGACCAAGTAATTCAAAGCTGCAGATGGTACGCAATTGCTCGGTAGACTGCTATCAAGTGCAATGCTAACTGAAGGTCCGTAAATGCACTCAGCGTAATTCTAGGCAAGTTGATATTAAAGAGATGAGCAGATTGGGATAAGGACTTCAATTGCCCCTGGGTTTTCCCTCTATGATTCTTCAGTATCTATAACCTTGCTCCTTACAGACGAGTATTAGTTTTGAGTGAGATTAAAAATTTTTTCCCAAAGTTAAGTAGATTTTACTGGTGTGATATACTTATGTACAGTATACTTAAATGGTATTTTTTTCCAAAATGTTTACTTATAAGTATGTGAGTTTTATTTGTGAGAACGATAAGTAATAAGCCTGCAATATGCACATCACATGTAAACAGAGAAATTTTTTGGGACCAATGTCATGATAAAAATTGAGGTGACAAAAGAGTCACATGATATATGTTATATGCTTAGCAAAAAGTCTATGTGTTAAAAATGAGCAAAATAACTCTTGAACATATATTTTTGTTGTGCCATTACTACCTGTGCCACTGTGTTTAAAAATTTATAGAACATTTGTTCACGTCAACACCCATGTACACGAGGCAATTGTCACTGCGGACTGTTAGGCAAAGTACACAAGGTAAAAAAGAAGAGAGAGCAAGAGCTCGGAAAGAACTATGACCATGTAAATGCTGATATTTTTTAGCTCCAAATCTATGCAAACTTGTATAAATAAAAATAGGGGGGTGAAACACATAATAATTATATAAGAATGACCTAAAGCCAGAAAAATAATAATAGAAGCTTGAATATAGAAACACAGTTAGTAGTACAGAGAGCCGTAGGTAAATAAAGATGTCATATGAATACAAAGGGAAAAAAGTGAAGACCACAAATAGAGTTGTAAAAGCAGAATCTTTAAAAAGAAGCATGGATAAAAAATGACTAAAATATAGACAAATACCCAATGTAAACAATATTTTAACTGCAGGTTTATATGTAACAATTGAAAGATACATTAATGTTGATTAACACTTCAAAATTAGATATCATGAACACAAAAAAAATCATGAAATATTAATAGAGATAAAACTAATATAAATATCAAGGAAAAGAGACACAGAGATATAAAAATATTAACATCATATGGGATAAAACAGATGCAAATATGGCAACACAAATATGCATAAAATTGTAGAATTAGAGACACACACATGAAGACGTAGATGCATGTATTTAGAGACTAAGAAACAAGGTTATGAACAGAACTATTATAAACAATACTTTGTAATAGAATGCATATAAAAAATATTGAGACATAAATAAAAGGATACAGACTTAAACTTTAATTAAAATAAAATTGTATAGTTACAGAAATGCAAAGTCATAAATTCATAAAAATAATTCATAAAAATGACACAAAAATCACGGTGCAGTAACTGTATACGATAAAGGTTTAATGAAAAAGAAAGATTAAGGGTTTTTTAAACTTCAGTATAGAAGAAACTATGAATCTTTGAGCTACTTTAGAAGCCAAAAAATATGATGTTGAAACAGCCCGTTCATTTTGTTCCTAATTACAATTACGGGAGTTGCTCGTGAGGGAGGATGAAGCCCTACGAAAATAGATTCATACATTTATGTATATATTTTTTAGTGATGCGATTCTCATAACTTCAAACGTGCGTTTTTTTATAAATAAATAAAATTTACTGCAAGTATAATATTAAGATAAGCAGCTAACTGTTTATTAACAAATATGACTGCCCAAACTCTTTGATTTTATTTTTGCATATTTTACAATTGCGGCTGCCTTAAGTTTGTAATTTAATTTTATAACTTTTAGAAAAATGTTTTTTTTTCTTGTGGCTCAAATTTGATTCGTAAGCCCCTGCTGTAACGATTCGATAAAACAGAATCCACCTAAATTTTCATCTTGCTTTCATCGTTCTTTTGTTATTCACTATTTTTATCATCAGCTTTTGCATTGTAATCACTTTTTGAAGATTTTCTCATGTAGGCTCTCGTACAAAGAGTAGGTAGGGTATGTGAGAATTATGTAGGGGTAACTCAATTAAAAGAAAAAAAAAAAAAAGAGAGCGAGAAAGCGTGCCGGCTGTGTCAGCCACGTGGGGTCTGGCTACACACGAGGGGCCCCTTTTGTTAACCATTGGTGCGAGCAAGACGGAGCTCCAGCCGCCTGCAGCAGCTACAACAGCAGCAGGAGAGCCGGTCGCCTGAGCCGAGAGAGTGAGTCTCCAGTGCCAGTCCGAGGGCCTTGCCTGCCGCACATAGTCCCTCGGTCGCTGCCGCCACTTTTTGTACGTCTACCTACACACACTTTTGTATCCAAGTGCCGTGAACGCGAGTTCCCATTTTTATTTCAGTGCAGTGCGTTCGAGTATTTTATTCCCGTTCATCAGATCTTTATCAAGAAAATGGCACCACATTTTTCATCGATTATTCACCATCGGTATCGGTACTTCTTATCTTGATCCAATCGTTTTTTGTTTTTTATTTATCGAAATTTTTCGTTGTCATTCAGTCCGTAAAGTTTTATTTTTACCATTTTTATCGTTAAGCCGATCCGATCGTCGGTCCGTTGTTGCTACAGTTGGCTCTCTATGTATCCTTAAAGGGTGTTCAAAGTGTGAGGCAGAGGAATTTTTGTGGCTCATTGGAGTTGGAACTTTAATTGGCGCCAAGCCGCAGGTTATATTTCGTAGCCGAATGTACTGTGAGTGTGTACATGTGTGCGAGTCTACTATGACGTGACGTGATATGTAGAAGATTAGGTGTGAAAGCAGGTAGCTTCAAAGTAAAAATGTCCAGAATCCTGATCGTGGATGCAAACACTATCTGGAATAATTCCTTTGAATCTCTACTACGTTATCCAGAAAAACTCCCGGAACTACTGTAGTTATGAAAAAATTTCAAAGTATTCATGCTTTCAAAAGAGAATGCAGGAGGAAAAAAAAGAATCATAGTTGGAGTGTCGCGAATCAATGTCGCAAATAGTATACGCGATAACCCCGGGGTGCGGTTGTTATGCATCGAGGCCACCGATAATCAAAACAACGGCGATAGCATCGGTGCTAAAAAGCAACAATCATGTTGCTTCGACACTGTTTCCACTTGAGCGAATCATGAAGGTGGTAAAAATTATGAAACGGAAAGAGTACCAGTTGTTCGTTTTTGTCTAGATATCCTGATGAAAGAAAGTGATTAATGAGGACTCAAAGTCTGGAAATTGTTCAATGATTCGTTCATTTCAAAGTAATGTGGATAATAAGTGTCAAAAAAATCCTTATACCAGGCCACATTTTAAAATGAAAATTGCTGTGACGAGAAATTCACTAGCTGATATAGCCTTTGAACGCATTATTTTAAGCCCACTCGAGTCGTTTTTTGCGCTGAACATAAATACCCCGCGTTGAAGTTGAAATGCCATCCGATCATAAACAAACGATGCGTTGGTTGAGCTAGTGGCCAACATGTTAACTTCACGCACTACTGCAAAGATAGTGCACCGGAGACAAACAGACGCGCGAGAAAATGTCCGTGTATAGTTACGGGTGTTCGTAAAAAAGAGCTCGCGCTACTGCACCACGTTTCCCTGCAGAGACACGGAGCTTCGTTTCTTTCGGTCCATCCACGCGAGTAAGTGCACCGAACGTTATTTCACTTTGAAGAACAAGAGCAGAGCCAACCCAACAACCTGCCCAACTGCATATCTCTTGTTCCCTCGAAACCCGCTTATATACACGTCTCCGCGGCCCGCTTACTTTTCACACGCACACCCACACACAAAGAAATGCCAAGCGTGTGTATACGCGCGCCGATCGAGATCGCAGCCTCCTCTACGCCATACTCCAGCCTCTCTCTCTTCGGATCGACTCCTCTCCCGTCGCTGTCCGGCCTCTCTCTCTCTCTCTCTCTTGCCTTACACTCTCTCGTGAATTCGTTTCGACGTTGGTTTACCGTTGTTGTACGTCTCCCTTCCCCGGCAACTTCTCGCGTTTATCCACAAAACCGCAGGTCTCGTTGATCCGCCGAGAAAAAAGAGAGATCGGCAGATTTTCCACCTGCTCCCTCGTCGCCGTCGCCCACGATCGGCTTTGTTAACACTCAGGTGATTCCCCGGAGCGAGGGAACAAGCTCGTTGCGTCACCGCGTATAGGTGTGCACGGAGATCTGAATCATCCTCTCCCGAGAGCTCTCTCGTGAATTCAGAAATAGCGCGCAGGCGGCCGATCGGATGAAAATATACCTACCGCCAGTCGTACAACAATACAAATGAAGCTCGCCGAGTTTTTTTAAAACCCGCGATACCAAGTGCAAGCAGCGGCGTATATAATACATCGGTGTAAGTAGCGTACGTGTATTTTTCAGCTCGGCCTCTGAATAGGATATTATACATCTGGTCGAAGGCGAGTGTTTGCGCAACTCTCTCTACGTGTACGTTCACAGAAACATTACATCCCGATTGGGAAAAGAGATCAAACGTCCTGGGTTTCGAAAGATGAAAGGAACAAAAAAAACGAGTCTGTCGAACGTCGGAGCGCGTGTGCGGCGCGAATAAAATAATCTAATCGCTCTCTCGAGGGCCGAGCGACGTAACGAGCACGTATATATGCACTAGAGATTACACTCGAGCAGGGGTTACTATAGACTCGTACGTAAAGAGAACTCGGAGAATTGGATTGTAGTATACGAGGGACGCAAAAAAAAAAAAAAAAAAAAAAAAAAAAAAAAAGATCGGAAAGCTGGGAGTCTGATACCATATGCGGTATGTTATTTCAGATCGAGTATAGGTGAAAGGTCCAGTTTTTTTTTATTCCTAGTTTATATCGTATCCCCGTTTATTCGTTGATTTTTAACTGTAAGTGCGCGTGGATGTACTACAGCCTCGTTTCTCTCTTCCGGCGTTGCGTTGGCGTCTTTTTCTTCCCGCAGTGGAAAACGGAGACAGATCGATAGCCTGGACTTATGACGCCTCGCGTTACCGATCAAAGGGGCTTCTGCTTCTTTTCTCCCGACCTGCGGTTTCTCTTTCCGCTCGACGAGTCTTCTTTTTCATCAGCTGGCGTATACAATTGCAGCTCGAACTCTGCGCCCCTTAGCTTGCAGTGCCGTCACACGGTATAAGCTGAGAGAGAGAGAGAGAGAGCGAAGACCCCGAAAAGTACAGTAGGCTCGTGTAGTTACGGTGTATCGTGTGGCTGCGCGTGGGTGGTGCAGCGCCACGTGCGCCTTTACGTATATATACAAAGCACAAGGGAGAGTTTAATTGCAGGGCTGTCGACAAGCGAACGGAAACACCCCGCGTGTACAGTCATTTCATTTCTTTTTTCGTTAATTTTTGTTTCTCTTTTTTTTTTTTTTTTTTTTTTTGAACTCAAAAAATGCCGATTTTCCAATGATTGCGAGCGCGTCATGCTTCTCGGAGCGAGAAAATGGCCAAGAGTATAATATATTTTTCTCGCGACTACGAGTATCCACACTGCTCCTGTCCGTATAGTTATTCTTGTTGCGGTTCTATGGCTAATTGTGCACTCTCGTCGGGTTGTACTACTCCTCTTGCGAAACACCGTAATTGTGCTGTTTGATACAGGTATACGAGCAAACGGGTTCAACAATTTCTCCCCCCCCCCTCCCATCAACCTTGGCACATCGAGAAACTACGGGGAATCTTGAAACTCGAGATGATAATCGCGGCTATTTCACACCCGAACAATGAATTATTCTTGAGAATTCGATTTGAACGTACATATACGTATAGTCTTGTTACGCAAATCACGATGATTTACGCAGGCTCGTGATTTCCAAAGATGAGAATCACTAGCCCATACTTTAGATGTATAGAGGCGTGCATTCGAGTTTCATGCACTTGGAAAGTTGGAAAATCGTTTCGTCAATAGGCACGCCGAGATCCGTGAAAGTCGTTTTATCGGCGCACAAACGGCGATCGGTTAATTTCGATACCAAATGCTAAAAATGCACGCCATGCCGTGAAGGTAAATAAAAACTTTCGAGTGTCCCAGATCGGCAGTATACACTTGGACGTGGCACGCGCGCGTACATAATAACCGTACGACGCCACAGACCCCCGCATCATCCTCGAAAGCTATGGGCTCGCGTTTCCAGTCCCCATATGATACCTATGTATGCACAACGATCGCGATCTCTCGGGCTGCCGGTTAATTGCGTCGCGCACTGATTAGGGTACGATCTCTCGACGAGCCGAGCGAGCACGTTACACGAGAACGGAAGCCGGCCATTGGGATGAAAATGGAGCGCCTGCTTTTTCCAACCCGAGAAAAATCGGCATGTACTTTCTCTCGCTGCGCCTCGCACATTATACACGCGTCTTCTCGGGTAATAAACGCTTGTGCTCCATAGCGTAAGTATATAGGTTGCTCCTATATATATATATTTGAGCCAGCAAAAATCAAAGGGCATACTTGCAGTAACAGACGGATGGTTTATACGCGTATAGTCCATATGAACGGTTGTAGCGCTACCGATCTCCTTTTTCCCCACGGCGATACAAAAATACGAATGAGAATTTTCACATCTCTCTGTGCTTCTCCCAGTTGAGGGGTCTCTTCTACACATATTCATATACGTGTACACATTTACAGTGCATGTGCTATAATAATCTTCGGCTTGGCAAGAAGAGAGAGAGATAGAGAGTGAGAAAGAGAGATCGGCCACAAAATCTGTGCAACACGTGTGCACGCGTGCCTTCTCCTATACTCATACTTCCCCCCTGCCAGCACGTAGATACATGGCTGCTGCAAGTGAGGGGGGGAGTGAGAAAAAGGAAATAAGATGCGCCCAGAATGTTGGCTTGTTTCGCGTGCGTGAGTGCGAGCAATTGCCGATCTCGGTGTGTCCGTGTGTAGTGCTACTGTTACGTGCCTCTGTGTGAACCAGTGTGTATATCAATCTGTGATTTTCAGTGAGTCCGAGTGATCGCGCCAAAGCCAACCGGTGTAGGTATATACATATACTATACACTCTGTGGTCAGCAGCAGCACCAACAGTCGAGATTGGGTGTGCGAATGCAAAAGCTCGTCTCGATTTCCAGGGTGTTGGACGGGTATATATATATATATACGTATACCGAAGGAATAAAGTATACATTACACGTGTGGATGGAGAGGGGCGTGCCATGGTCAGATGTACGTGCGTGAAATTCATCCGGTTTTTACGTATAGGTAAGTGTACAGGTATAAGTCCATATGTAAGAGAGGAGAAGAAGGTGATGGTCGCTCGCAAACTGGATATGTACAATACATGCTTTGGGGCAGGAAAGGGGGGTACTTGTATACATTTAGTGCCGGGGAGACGACTGTCACGCTCGCTGAAATGACAACCAACGACTACATTTGTAGAGGCTTGAATGCCAGGTTTAGTTTGCTATTATACATTTGCTCTCCAAACATTTTATTCTAGGTTTACAATCGAGCTTTCTTTTTTAATTTTTAGTCACTCAGATGTCTCTGCGAGATGTATAATGTTTGTTTTAGCAATGTTTATGGCTTCGTTCATTCGCATCCTTTCGTGCCTTCATTTTTCACTTAAATCATTGCTTTACATCCAAGTCACCAGCTGCTACAAGACTTTAATCTTTTTATTAAATCCATGATTCTTAAACTTGTCATCTGGCTTTTTTGATATTCATAAATGGTGGTCATTGGGGTTAAATAGCAACTAGTACGAGTAATATACCTTCTTTGCTTACTTTGTATGATTTACAGCAGGAGGATATTAGCACCAATTTACCGAATAATGTGCCCCTTGGAGCCTCACAACTTGTTTTCTGTTTATTTTTCTCATGTATAGCATACATTTTTTTTGGGTCTTCCCTGCCATTTGTGGCCCTATGATAATCTTTGCCACGTTTTACAGCTATGTATTGGATGCACATAATCCATAAATCTGTAGCATCTTTGTACAATGATCCTCCCTTAGAGCTGACATCTATAATTGAACCTATACATTTTATCGAGAAGTTATCGATTAATTGCTTTGTTCGCTTCGATTTGAGCCGTTCTTTGTCAACGTCGAGTTCTTTAACGTTTTCAGCGGTTTCTCTCGTTCAACTCCGTTATTGGCCATGGCTTGGAAATCAAGGACTTTAAGTGTTAGTCTCGGTTTCCTTGATTTCATCAGCGTATATTCTATACCCAGTTAAAAATGAAACTTTTTTCGTCAACTTCCGTTTATTATTAGTACCCCTAAAAAATTCAACCAGGACACTATATCTCCTTTGGTACTACAGATTAAATTGCATTATTTGAGGTTCAACGTATTTTGGGATTTCTCGAGAGCACATCAGCGGAGATGTTTTCCTACATATGCTTATTTAGTACACCTGTTATTTTTCAATTATTAAGCTCTTATTTCACGTTTCGTCTAGGTACGCGTCTTCAATTCTTTTAAGGAATTTTCAAATAACATTAATCAGTCAAAGTCACCATCAGAATCACCGTACTTCCCCTTTGTGCTTTCTGGTGATAAGCTTTAAGCTCTCACTGTGAGTCTACGCGCTAGAAACAGTAAATTATATGAAAAAACATGGAATTTCCTATTTTGAGAAATTAATTAATTTTGTAAGCAAGTACTACATTTAGACTACTGCTTAAATAAAATTGGGTTATTGGAAAAAGGAAAGAAGTTCTCTAGGAAGGTGATAAAAAAGCTCTGTCAAAAATAAAAGACAGACAGCTTCTTCAAATCATACAGCTCCCACTGACTAGAACAGCCCCATCTTATCTCTCGACAGTCTCGAGCTTAAAAACGCCTCCCAACACAAACGTATGCATTCACAATACATACGAACAGAGAGTGCACTTGTTTCACGTATGAAGCTATTGCTGCTGCAACAGCAAAGTGCACGAGAGTACAGCAGCATCAGCAGCATCGAGAGCAGCGCGCGGTTTTCGAAAGGCGAGGTCGACCTATGGGTAACGAGCATATCCTGTTCCAGTCGAAGATCAAAGCCTCCTCGTGCGGAAGAGAAGGAGAGGAAAGCATTTCCTGCGTCTTTCCCCCACCCCTTTTTACGCTCTCTCTCTCTCTCCCCCTATTTATCTTCTTGCAATCTCCGTGATGCCCCCTTCACCGTCATTCATTGGCTTCGAGCGTACACGTCTCGTACACTTTCCGAACTGTGAAGATCCTTTGACTTTCTCGTAGGTGAACGATTATTGCGCAGCACCCAACGCTCTGCAAACTATGAGAAAATTTCATTGTACTGTAATGTATGCATCTGTTAATCATCGTTTAGCACCATAGTGCAGGTATTTATCACCGAAACATGAAAATCCTTACTGTTTCACAAATCAGCGTACTTACAATGAATCTACTACCCGAAGTAACGAAATGAAGATGCATGAATTAATAATCAAATATTTACACTGATTTATTGATTTTACGGTATAATCCGATACAGATCTGAAGCATTCGTTACTGTGTTCACTGTTTAGCCATTAGGCAGATACAGGTTTAGGTGTTCAAACAAATTACTACGTTTGAACGAATCGAATTTGATCGGGGAAAAGTGTGGATGCATGGCTTAACAAACGTTTATACGAATTTTTTTTAGTATGTGCTCATGTGTACGTAGACGATTGTCAGTAACAGTTTCATTACTCTCAATGAAATTCGTACAAATAGTAGCTGATTCAAACGGATATCTGATGAATAAAAAAAAATTGTCCTCAAATCTCACCTCAACAAGGCACAATGGAGATACCAAAATACAAGTTAACTCAGCCCTGCGTTTATATATATACGTTTATATATATACACCCTGTAATCCAAGATTTCAAGCTATAGTTATTCAGATGACTAAAGCTTATTTTAATAAAGTATTCCTTGTAGCGTATTAAACAATCGTCTTGGAGAATAAAAAAATCTACTTAATGTTTTTGTCACTGACATTACAATAAAGTGCGTACATAATTTGGCATTATAAGATGGAGTTCGTACACTATGAATCTGATGAAAATAAGAATAATACAGCATTTAAAATTCTTGGCGTGCATGCCCTGCAATTTAAATCTGCCGAAACAATATGCCATTTCCTTTGTCTCTCGCAACGTGTGCGGCATATTGAATTTCAAACGTCTTCAATTAACGTAATGATACGAAAAATCAAACGAAACAAAGCACCTTCAAATCATCAGTCCAGAAGGAGAAAGAAGCCACACAGATTAAGCACGTCATCTCGAAATTGGACGGGATAATGCAGCGGCGGTCCAAGTTACTTTCTCCGTTCTTCCTTGACTTGCAGAAACAAGGTATAGGTAGGGGAGACCGGGGGAGACTGATAAAAATGCGCATTTAATTTGCCAGAGAAAAAGCGAGGGGAGAAAGAAGGAAAGGACAGCACCGAGAGATCTTTCGGTGCGCGGCTTGGAAATTTTCCGCCTCGGGCGGCGCAGCTTCCCCGCTTTTGGCTCCCTCGACTCGTGATTCTGTTCAGTTTTATCTCGCCTACAGAGAGAGAAAGCCTGCGTGTTGCTGCAGTTTGTCCTGAATAAACTTTGAGCTACCGGGGGAAGGGGAGCACGTGGTTTATTTGCAGCAGCAAAAGAAAGAAGAAGAAGAAGAAGACGGGGGAGGAAAAGAAGCTGGAGGGCCGTTTGAACTCGCGCCCTCTCTCTCCCCGTGCACGTATAGCTTCTCTTTTGCTCGCTCGCCGCTTCTTTCCACCCGCTTCTTCGTCGCCTCGTTTTGCCGGTTTCACCCATAGTCTCCTGCATTTCTCACGTTTTCATCTCTGGTGCTATTTCCATTCGATCATTGCGACTGGCTTATAGTTTATTTTATGTGGAATATTTCATTCCGAAAATGCCAATATCCGATGTCTTCTTTGGTACAACCAAATACTTGTACGAAAATTATGTGATAAACAAATGGCAAATTAAATGGGACGTGTCGAGTGAAAAGTAGCGAGACAGAATCGTCTACGAGGTTCGTTATCCGTGAGCACCAAGTGCTCCAGTTTAAAAGTAGAAGTAAATCGTGTTCGGGGAGCGCACGGCGTGTGTGGATGACGTAATTATCAAAGTAGCCTTAATCATGGTTACATTCCTCGAGTTGACTCCTAAAAGGCTTGGAAGATATTTATTAGCTCGTAACTATCAGCGCTCGATGGCATCATCACAGAGTGTTTTTTTTTCCTCTCGTAAAAGTACTTCAATACCGACCGTAAACTTAATTGATCGACTTTTTCAAAATTAACTGAAATCCGTGAGATTCATACCGTAACTGTTGGACCTACTTTCGAAGTTCTTCTTTTGGTTTGTAAGTTCTATTTCGATATTTATTCGGTACACCCGTTGATTAAACAAGGAAATCTTGGTTTAGTTGAAGCTGGAGCGAACTTTATGATGATTTCATAACAGCTTTAAGTTTTATCTCCACAAAAGTTGGAATGAATTCACAACCTCGTGTGAACTTAAAACGAACAATACGTTAGCAAAATATTTCTTACTTTTATCCCCTTATATCGCAATAAGTTATTATAAACTGAACAATGTAATGGAATTGATGCATTTTTGTTAAAAAAGCTCATTATACCGTACTTATCTTTATCTGGATAAAAAGCGAGATCACAAGAGTAATGTGAGAGGAGCTTCAAAATTTTTTTTTGTTTTTTGTCAAGTACTTGTTAAATTAAATTTTATCTTGAGGAACTGACTTTGTAGCTGTTTAAACTATCGTCTGTCTGAATTGATTACTGTACGTACATACAGTGTATGGTTAGTTTCCTACATTTTTAAATCCAGATACGACAACCTACGGGTGATTTTTCAAAATTTCACAAAGTTATTTCCATGATCAGTCTTAAATGGCAATACTATTAGCTCTCATGAATAAAATGATGCCAAAAACAAAACTCAACGTCAGTGCGGTAGCAGCCCTAACGAAGAAAAACTCACCTCCCCTAAATTCATCTGGCTCCGATCTCGCGAGCGCATTGTTCTTCGGTCCGGTTATTCACTGGGTCGAGCGAATAAAAGGCGAACAAATGTGCACGCGAAGAGCAGCAAGATGAATCTCTTGGACTCGAGCAAACGACAACGACGACGATAGCGCTAGGCGGTGCAATAAAAAAGGCGCTACAAGACGGCCGAGCGCAGAAACGAGTGTCCAGCGGTAATAAAAGCTGGAAATCCTCTACTACGCGGTAAAAAAAAAAAAA